AGCGTCCCATCCAAGGTGTTGTCACTCCTCATATCCCATGTCAGACTAGTGTCCCATCCAGGGAGTGGTCACTATAATACATACTACAAGGACAGGCTTCAGTTGCCACAACCCTCCCCAGGAAGAATTAACTGTCTGATAATGGATGGATGTCTCATAACTCATAATTTTTTTAGGACATGAAAGTAGCACTCTGCCAATTAATGACGCCTGTTCTTGAAACCCCTGGCAGTGGCAATGTCTGAATTGCATATTGCCTTTTTCAAGCAAAGCTGTAAGCTGCTGTTGGTTAGGGACTGTATTGTTGATAATGATCAGGCAAGTTTAATTGATTTAGAGTAAAAATATCATATGATGCACTCCATGCAAAATTTCTTGGTTTCCTTCATCTGTAACATTTTAAAAGTAAATGATTTATAAAATGCAGTTTATGCTAATTATTTCCAGATGCCACATCATTTCTAGTTCTGTGCATCTTTCTGTCTGTATGCAATGCTGCACCAAACACAAGGAGGTGAAGTCAACAAAAAAACAATCATTGGTTAATGTAGTTGTATATTTATCAAACATGATACAAGGTACTTTAATGCTGAATAAGAGTCAAATCACTGGAACCACTTATATGTTAAATACAGCTTCAGAGAAGGTAATTATCTTTCTAGAAGCATCATTGGCAATTCTCTGTTTAAGTTATTATTATTGACACAGTTGTTAGGCATTCATCCCATTTTCCAGACACAGATTTAGTCTCATTGAGTTTTAAATGGATTGCCAGGGATGTCTTGGAGTAATTTATACAGCAACTTATCATAATTAGTTATAGTTCACAGTTTGCCTTGGTGTGAGATTCAGTTAATGTTTCACAATTGATTTTGCTGTATATCTGCATGAACCTGTTTTATGTGTGCCACCCAGGATCTGTTATAGATGGGCTTGCATTAATACGTTAATGTGGGAACCAATAAAACATATTTGTTGGAAATGTAAAAATTAAAGATTCCTTGTCAAGAAGCTATGAATAAGACATTGGAGATAAATTACATCCACAGGCCATGTAAAAAGATTATTGAGAGGAGCAATAATTATTTGTATCTAACAGGAAATAAGGTGAAAAACTTATTTTAATTATCTGGAGAAACTGCAGTGCATTTCACTCACAATTTAAAAGACGGTCCAGGAGATGTGTTAAAAAGATGTTGCCCTTCACTCTGTTTCTCATTCCATTGCTGAAATTGCCTTTTGTTCTCATATTTTATTGTGGAAAGGGGATTTTAAATAATGCTACAGTAATGCAATTTATCTTAATTTTTAAAATCTATATTGTTGTAACGTGTTGTGTGAGTTTTAAGGATCAAGTAGGGGTTAACGCTAAATGAAAGTGAGTGAAATACATCATGTTTTAGCTGTCGAAGCCCCATGCTCACACTGCCTGCCAGTCAAACCTCATGTGAGTATTAATTCTTACATGACTTAGTCCTGCTTATGATATACAGTAGCAAAATACAAAAATTACTTCGATGAACCCCCGGATAAAATAAAATAATATTATGCAGGGTATTGATTGATATACCATACATAGTATATTAATTCTGTAAAAGGACTAAAACAGTACAGAACCAGTGTGTAGAGTCTCATGGAAAAGCAATACATTTAATCTCATCATAAATATTGAAGGATCAAGCCTGATCCTTCAATACTTAGTATCCCAATCTTCAGTTTAATTAACCTAATTTTTAGGATCATTATCTGAAACATCAGCATCATTTTGTGAATCTTCAGGATCATTACCCAGATCTTCAGGATTAATATTCAGATTTTAAGGATTATTATATTGAGGTTATCATCTGAATCTTTATTCTGTGAGGGGCTGCTAAGATAATCACGGAACATAAAAGGAACAAAACAAACCTTGCAAGACAGCAGTTAATAGTTTTATTATTTTTTCACACAATTCACAAATGTTTAGAACATCCACTGTGTATTTTATTAGGTCTGCCTAGAGCAAGCCAAAATGTGAGAACTGTAGTTTTTCACCAGATGGAGTCTAATTTTGGTTAAATTGACAAAATATGACAAGTTACAGTTATAGGGAAAAATCGGTGCCAATTTCTGAGGTATTCAGACAAAGCTCTATTGTTTTCTCGTAGCCGTGTCCATGAAATTAGAAAGCTCTGAGTTCCATGATACAAATTGCCAGTGATGGATCTTTGGTTGCTGGGGTCTGTATATTAGGCATATTTGAGGGTGACGTCTGTGAGGCAGGATAGGTGCTTTGAGACCAAATTAACTTGAGACAAACGTGTCTGTGAAAAAGAAACATTGTCCATGTGAGCTGTCATGCTTGTGTGCTTCATTTCATCTCCGGTCCTGGGCGAATAATTGGCAGCCCATGGATTAACCTAGGGAGTGCAGGGTTCAATAGCCAATCAAACCCAACCTGCATGGCCCTGGGAGGTGGGAGACAGCCATAAAAAACCCTCCTCCAGCGAGAACCTATATGAGCACAAGGATGACAAGAGAACTCCACACAGGCAAGTGCCAGAGGTTCGAATTAAACAGCTGTGCTGACCACTATTGCACTGTGCTACTCCATAAGTATGAATATAAAGTAGATTCACGTTCACACTTTAGATTATGGTGTATATAGAAGGTATCATAAATATTATTTTAATCAGCAATGTATTATTGTCTTAGCATTAGAGTTAGTACATTACTGAATATCAATGGATTCTTTATCACATTTGATAGAAATGTGTAGTTGTATAAGTAGGGTTATTGAGTTATTAACCCCCTGACCCTTCTACTGGAAGTGCAGTAAGTGTAATAAGAGTTCTGTGTATTCAGTATCTTCAGTGAGAGCCACCTTCTCTCCTCACATTAGTAGTGATGTGGCTCTCACACAGTTCCATAGTTCTCCACCACATGACACAGTGAGGGAACGGCACACTGAATGCTTGTTCTTCTCCCAGAAATCAGTGCTGTTAGGACCTCGTGGTTAATTCTGACAGCATTCATGTTTCCATAGCCTCTAATAGATCATTGCAAAATCCATCAAATTGGATCTAGTGTTTTTATTTATTTTTCCTGTGAGTTCTCATTATTATGTTCAATTTAGATACTGTATCTAGCAGATCTGCAAGGCTCTGCAGTGGTACGTGGTCGAGTGTCAGAGTCGATTATTGTTCCTATGTTCTTGGTGTTTTCGGCAGTTGCCGTATTAGTACGACAGCGGGTCCAATTTCTTGTCACTGCTAGAATAAGAGATATTGCATTCAAATTGAAATGAGAGATTTAGATTCTGTGTGCCGCAGACCACAACAGTTAGGGATCCATGTCTGGTGAACAATTTCTCAGGATCATGCACATTTGATGGAACCTGCACTGGGCCTACAAGCTGAAGTGCCCATGGTAATTACAGCAAATAAGAGGTCTCTTAAGAAACAGGTCCAGCTCTGTTGATGCTCAGAGGAGTGTGTACTGAGGAACTGTACTTTAAGATACGATGTTGATCAGTGAACTTTCAAGCCAAGAGCGGACAAGGCAGACAGGAGTGTGGGATGAGGGACCAGGGCATCAAGCCTTGTGTGGCCTTGCAGCAGATGCATGGTGATATTGCAGAACAATCCCTGCACAAAAAGGGCTGAGAAAAGGAAAGACTAAGAGTGCTGCAAGGGAATCCACGCCAGCTGCCATCTTGGGTTTAAACTCTTCTTTATAAAATTATGAAGGAAGCTCTTCATGTCAAAGATGAAAGATGCCACTTGTACCGGTTTTCTCCATTAAAAAAGCTACTTTTCCGTGGAAGAGCCCTATCCTGGAGCATGCATATTAAGAATAAGTGCAACAATACAAGCTAAACTCTAGTTTTAATTTTAAGTAACGTCATTACTTATACCTATATTTTCTCGTGTACATTCCTACCCTTTCTTTATTTTTGCAATCATATGAACATACTGTAAGGAACAAACAATCAACCTATCTGGCCCTTTTGGTAGCTGGTAATTAATTGATCACAGGATCTCATCTCAATGAAAGGCCCTGCCATTGTCAATATAAATACAAATCCTCCTGCAGCTTCACCTTTCTCTATAGGGCACATAACCACTTCTGTTGTCATTTTACAATCATTAAAACCAAAATGATTTTATGAGACTTATTTCTGCAGGGAGGGAGAAGTGCTTTTTGAAAGAAGCAAACCTTTTTTGTCCTTGCCTAAAAAGTGTAGCACCGTGTCCTGTAACAGCTCTAATCACATGTTGTGTGCAAGAAAGAAAACAATTGAAAGGTTTGCGCATGTCTTGAAGTTGCCTATTGAAAAGAGTCATG